TAACCTTTTTGATGTAACATGAAAGAAACTAAGCCTAATGTCAATATTAATTATAAAACGATTTAAAATCTTTTTCATGATCATCATATTATCCTCTAAAATATTTCTCCACATTGCTTGTAGGTGCTAAATCATTATCTAATCCTAGTTTCTAGCGAGAAATAGGAAATCTCTCTTTTAAATGAATTCAGCGTAATTGATTGAAAGCTAGAGCACTAGCAAAAAGTTCATAATACAGTAAAAAGTAGATCAAGCCTTAACTTGAATTGGTTCCATGTACATAGACAAGGAATCAGTATACTTTACATTGTATCAGTGATGTTCTAACGATAAAAACTACAGAGAATTTAATTATGATAGAAGCGCTAATTATGTTAATGAGGATCGAATCAATATTGATTTATTCAGATTAAGTCCTAGAAGCAAACGTTAGCATGCACGATTCAGTAAGTTCAATGTTGTATACAAAGTAGGCAATGATCAAAGAGAATATATCGTGAATAGAAAAAAGCAATCTAATATCTGATAAATTCATCTATTTGTTGTTGGCCATATTCTCTCAATCAACAACGTAATATAAATCATCAATTTGTAGAGCTAATGATAATTAATATATAAACAATAATGATATTCTGATCCTTAAATATATCTTCTGTCCATCAATTTAAAGATATAGTTTGAATGCTCATCAGAATAAAGGTGATCTCATTAGTAAAATGGAGCTTATATCTATCAAGTTAAGCTAGCAATAAGCATATTTTGGCAGAGTACTGAATTAATCACAGACTCTTCCTGCGCGCTGTCTCATTCTTAATTGAACTTTTGTCGATCAAATCAAGGCAATACATTTTGTCCAGTAAATATTAATCTTGCAAGTTTGAGTAAAAGTAAGCTTGCATTATATTACAATTAAGCCATGGCTAATGCGCAAGGAATTAGTTCATATAGTCGGCAAGTTAAATAGACAAGATGTTGTTACTTCATAATATTGGCTATCCATTTGCATAATGGCTACAAATATTGGTATTAAGGTCATCAGTTTATTTTTTAATCTTATTACAAAGATGCCTCAGAAATTGGGGCAAATTGATTAGTCATCTTAAGATATCTTGATTGATTTTTAAACTATTTATACAAGACTCGTGTAGTTTAGATTCAACTATAATTATTTCTCTTGATATAGACTACACAGACCCATTATAATGTATATTTTAGTAATTTATTTATTTATCTAAATGAATTATTCAAAATTGATAGTAGAGATGATCGGTTAATAGTCACGTTTGAAAATTTGAGCTATTTAAACTATCATAATTCTATAGCGTTCCATTATAGACTGATAATACTCGCATGGCTAAATGGAAGTAAAGTGTATCTATAAGTTATGCTAATCATCTTTGTAATGTAACTGAAGGTCACTAAGATGATTTACTTTAAATATATTAAAGCATTCCTAATATATGACATCATCTATTAATACTCTGCAAGATATTAAAAATGTCATTTCCAGGTTGCAATAAAATTATTAATTTTATGCGAAAACCAGAAGAGTTTGAGAAGATATTTTAGTAGTAACAATTCACAAAGAGATAGATTTAACTTTGCCACATTTAGATTTTTCAACATCTTAGATTTAAAAACCTTTGGGCAAATAAATAATTTACGGTAGTTTTATCTCGAGTAAGTTGCCGCTGGAAATCTTAATACGATATATATGAAAATGAGTAAAAAGTGATTTGTAAATTTGAAGTGATTAATTTAGCGAGTTACGAATGCTTTCGATATCTGGAAATATCGTTGACAATTTACAGCATCTTGGCTAAATTAAAAATCCAGATTTAGTTTCTTTGTATGCTAACATTTTTCTATCAAAGTCATATAGATACTGACTATGTGATACTTTTAAGAAATGTATTTAAATTCTTATTATCATGTATACTCTTATGAATGTGTCATCGTAAGGTAATCGCATCGAAATATAAGTAGATTTGATGATTAGTAGGTTTTCTTATCGTTTTCCCGCAATGATAGACCACTATCTTATTTGGTAAGCATACGGAGCTTTGCTGATACTTTACTATGATTTTAAGTATACTGCGAATATAAAATAAATTGGATTCCAAAGGAAAATTTTTTTGATAAAATCGATACTATAGTGTATATTCCATCGTCTTAGCCTTCATTAATAATTAATGGCTTAAACCTTTATTATTCAACAGTTGATACAAAAATTCGTTTAATGCTATTGATAACAATATGAAACAATATTATAAGTTATGATGCTCGCAAAGTTATAGAAGAACGATATGATTCATTGATCGATTATGATTTATTGAATTATATTAAATCGTTACTTTATAGACAACCGTTTATAGCCTTGAAATTAAATTATTTACGTTTCAAGATGAAGTAGATCTACTCCTCGGATGTAACTGTGCAATTTCATGTCATATTTACTATCAAATTTAGTGAATAAGAAACTTATCATACACTTTAATAAACATACTTATAGATATGCTTGCTCTATTGTTAATAATTTTGCAATCAGTCTCGAACACTGGTAAAAGATAAAATGGTTTACTTGATACTTACATATTTACATGTAAGTGCATAGCTTGGAAGTAATTACTGAATTACATTGTCAAACTTGAATTATATATAGCAGATATGATTTCACTTATTTGGTAAGCAATTAGTTAAACTTTGAACGACTGTGTGATATTGAATCGAGAGCTACAGTGTATAGGTGTTTCTTGGAAGAGATAGATGCTGCTATAACTGGTGATAATAAGTTATGCTATTGTCACAAAACAGCTTTGCAACAAGATAACGTAATCTACGATCAATAAGTCAATTCCTTGAACTACGTATCAAGGAACGATATCTGCACTATCACGAGCACTTTTGCTCTACTAGCAGACTACACAAAGACTTAAACGCCTCGTATTTTACGTTAAACACTAAGTTGGACAAATTCTTCTTTATTTCACGATATACTGCATTTATATACTATTCCTCAATAGTTCATGAGTCATAGTTAATACAATTAACATTAGAATCATTTACTGAATTAGATATTAATTTTAGCTACTGCTCTCTTAATGCAGACAACAGTATTTACGAACATAGACATGTAATAACTAATACAGAATAGTCAGATTACGATATGTCCTATCACGGAACATTTCCATGATAATTTACAGTCTATCATAAGTAAATTACAATCACAATGATTCGAACTGTAAGCAGATGATTTGCATTCCCTATTATAACTATTATAATTTCAGTATGTGTATAAGTGTCACTGTCATAAAAAGTCAGTGCTATATTAAAATACAGTATATCCAAATTAGAAGTTAACTAAATAAGGATAGTCTAACAGAATTATCCTAACATAGTTATTTCTACTGTAATACAGTATTTAACACTGTAACAGCTATATTATTATTAGAAGACACCCATTTAAATATTTAAAGGGATAATCAGCTTCGTAAATGAACAAAAAATAGTTTAGCGAGTGGAAAGAGTTGCAAGGAAAAAATATTTTTCAACATTTATACGCATATCAGCAAATGATAATTTTGCAATTTTGGTGAAATATCCGAAATTTTTAGGTGATTATAAGATGCTTATAAGTATCTTTACGTCTAGATAGATAAGTTGATGGAGTACTTGTCATCTTTATGTTTTTTGCATCGCTCAGTTAGTTTTAATGATTGCAATCATGCTATAGAATACACGTATCAAAATTTTGATCGCAAAAAGTGTGTGTAAATGAGCACGTTGTAAAAATCTATAATTATTGGCCTCTTGTCAAACTTATTACAAAGGCAATAGCATAATTAGAGAATTTCTAAGGCTACTAGTATGTATGTTACAAATATTTATGCATCAATTTATGATGGTATTGCTAGTATTTCTAGCAAGGATTTAACATTTCAACTTAGGAAATCAAATATCAGACTCAATAGATAATATTTTTATTGCCTTGCAACGAAAAAATCGAAACAAGCAATACCACAGGTATGTACAGTTCTAACAATTTTAAAATACGAAGGTAGGTTAGATAACCAAGAACTAATATCTTCATGCATAATACTAGCAGTGTAAGAAAAAATAAAATTAAATGCCAACGTGAACCTTATATATGTATCTCTGATTATTCAGGTATTACTTATTTAAACTAGTGACCAACGATAGAGCAAAGCAATAATTTCAGTAGTAATAACGGTATTTTTTCGTACATTAAAAATGTCATGTTAACTTACGGTAATTATCATGCAGTGCTTCTTTTAGATTAATTTTATTAATTATCATAATCTAGTAGGAAATTTATTCAATATTTACTTAACTGCTTAAATTTTAAGAGAGTTTGATCGCGTGTTAAAGTGAGAAATGGATGCTAGGATATTTTTAAAAATTTCTAAATTACTTATAATGCCAGATATGGCAAAGAAAAATCACCTCATGGCGTGGTACCCAACACGGCTAAAATATAGAATAAGCACAATTACTTCCACGAAGAAACATCACTTTAGAGGCATATATTAATATAATTACACTCAAATTTCATCAGCTTTCTAATATCAAATTACTGAAAGACTTGTAAAATAAGTGTTTAAGTACATAACTTACTATATACAGTACTATTGGAATACTTTCGTAATTATTTAAAAAACCTTTAATTTGGCTTCAAAGGCTATAATATATTTATATTCTGCCTTTAAAATTCAATAATGATAAAGAATTACTGGTAATTTTAAATTTAATATGTTATTGATGATATCTTGTTTCTATTCTCGATCTTTTCGCGGTTTTAATACACATTTGCTCGTTCCGCTATCCTTAGATATGTTTACAATGTAATTAGGGTATATTTTATTCCGTAAGGAAGTATGCAGGTAGTTGTTCATTTCTTATGGGATTTAGCCACCATAATAGAAATATGGTAAAATTCAACGGGTATGATGATCGATCAATATTATCTACATTTGCGAAATTTAGAAATTACTTTCCACGATAAATCGATGTATGACGGTATTATGTCGACGACGCTTTCTTTGTATAAAAAATTCAAGGCATGATAGAACTAGTTGCCTGAATCGTTTATCGCGCTTGTAAAAGATGATTGGGTTGATAGCGTTACCAGTGTAGCTGACGAATAGAAAACCAAACTGTAATTGTATAATTTCAGGTTGGTATAGGAAAAAATTAATAATCATCGAGATTGTGTATGGTATGTAGGTAACCAAATAGGATATAAAGATAAGAGCCAAGGTTTCTGTTAGTTTTAATTCTTGTTTACTAACTTCTGGAGATCGAGATGAACTTGCTGCGCTACTTTTAGAACTATCATTGCTAACTGAAGTTCGTAACATTTGCGATGATCCTTTCCCATGCTTACATTTTCGTAGTCGCTTTAATTTTTTCGAAGAATTTCCATTTTCGTTGGCAGCTTCAGGATGTATTTGATTAAAACTGTTGTTGGAGTGCCTAGCCAAGCGTCTTCGACTTTCTCTAACGGCAAGATATATCGAGGTATAACACATTATCATAATTAATGTCGGTATAATTATACCAAAAGAGGAAAGGAAGAAGAAATAGGACTTATACTTCAAATCTTGGGTAATAAAATAAATGGAAAAGCATACACCAATATCACGAAAGTAGGTGTATTTACCCCAAAACCCAATAACTGGTGGCAATACTATTACAAATGGTATGACCCAAATGATCAAAGTGATTATAAAATAGCTTCTTTTATCTTTAATCCATGATGATTTCTTAGGCTGAACAACGACAACATATCTCGCTACTGCTATTGCTGCCATTGAATAGATATTGACGACTCCAGCATATAATGGTGCAGCTTTCCCTAATCGACACCTCCAAGAATTTTCGGTGTAGATCGGTATATCACCAATGGTTATCCTGATAAGATCAGGCATAAATATGCAGCAGCTTGATTCATGAATTGGAAGAGCATCAAAAATTCCGTATATGAAAAAAGTGAAATTAATAAATTATTAAAATTGAATTTTATTCATGACTAAATGGTTGAGTAAAAGCAGTGTATATTATTTGTTTAGGAAATCATGATGAAATCAAACACTTGATATTACAGGATTCAAATATCAATTTTGTATCCATAAAAATGGTAAATATGAAAGGTTAAATCTAACAGAATTATTTTGAAATAATTGTTTTAACTGAACAAACGCTGTGCTTTTTACTTTAGAGTATCGATTTGCTGCTAGTATCATCTAAAAGTAAATCTTATATAAAAAAATCCCTTTCACTCCTGTCTGCAAATGATTTATTTGTTAAGGGAATAAGAGATCGTTTGGCATCTACCGATATCATAATTTTCCATGTGGAATAGGCTAAAATCTGATGTAAAATAAATTTTGAAAATACTGTATAAGATATTCCCCCATTTTATGAAGATGGTATAACAAGATTTTCTGCAAAGAAATAAATCAGCATAATGATGAATGCTGATCATATAGGGTATATGCGGTAAGTATTGTACTTTGTGTAAATCTATGATAGATGCTACTATGGTAACAAAAATGAGCTATCTTTGTTGTCCTATAAATAAATAAATGCATTTGTACTGATAATTTCAGTTATGCTATTGATTAGGCTCTATTTTTACATTTCCTTTAATTTGCTATTTATACGATTCAATAGTGAACAATAACTTAGTAAAATTTAAAGTTTGCGAAAATATCTTCTAATATTATTTAGAACATATTTTTACATTTGTATTTGTTTGTGTTGTAAACTCTATCGGCATATTTAAGCTTTTTAAGAAGAAAACTTAAAGTAGATAATGTTATTTAAAATCAAAATAAACAGAATGATATTTCCAACTAAGTAGTCTAAGATATTAAAGATTAGAATGACGACGGTACTTATCGATATTTATTTATCATAAAGTAAATACACTTTATCCCTGGTAGTATGACTAATTTAGGACTGTAATGAAAAATTTTTAACTTGGAATTATGGACCTGAAGATGTGGATTCAAAAATAGTTGAAAGTTACGTCTTGAGGTTTAGCCAGAAAAAGCTATTTACTTAATGGCGCTCCGGCATATACACTCGCGAAAATTACGATATTCAGAGCTTAATTTTGTAGCCATAGGCAATTATAATACTTAATCCTTAGCACGTATAAGAGGTAAACTTCCTTTATTTATTATAGACCATCAACATTCCAAAGTTACAATATCAAATGTTGAATAGTTAATTGCTGAATAAATACTAGATATAAAATCTCCTGGGGTACTAATATCTCATTATTTATTCCCACGACTTTAGCCTAGTAAGGACATTGCAACGTGAATTATATTTAAATAAATATAACTGTTGCAGTAGAAATTTGTTGTTTAAGGATTAACCTCATATTTTTAAAAACCCTTTAAAATATGGCTGTAAATGGAGCTATCATGCAATTTCGACAAATTGTAAATGCTGCGATTAAAACTTGATTGTTTTCGCTTATTAATATCGCTCCTTCATACCCACTAATATAGAATTATGTAGTCTCCATAATAGATCTTAGAAAGGATATTGCCCGGATGATGCTTTTAAAGGCTTAGTGTGTCACAAACTCCCGTGTGACAAGATAACGTTGTGATCGAATCTACGATCTCGCAATAATTCGTACTCCTTCGATTTACGTTATACTTCTAACCTTAGGAACTAAGAACTAACTTTTATTAATTTGTCCAATCGTTTAAATAGATTTTATCTACAAGCTTTTACACACCTCTTAGAATACTGCTAATCCAACTATAGATATAAATGACCTTTAACACATCACAATTTAAATCGTACCGTCTACAATCTATATCTGGTTACGTACTCCTCGGCTTACAATATCATTGTAGCCGCAAAGCATGTACTAATTTGGTACGGTGAGTTAGTACCGTGACATAGTGTTACCTATGCAGTACTTTAAAGTAGCTTAGAATTTATTAGCATAGAATTATACCAAATTGGTTGCAAACGTAATAGCAACTTGCAGAGTATAAGACCGTATAATCTATTGCAAAATGGTGCTTTTAAGTCGTTTTTCGTATCGTAGAAATTATGTGACATCTTTATAGGTATTAATGATTTTACTGATTTTATTTATTTACAGAGAGAGATATTCTCTTGGATTTTGTTGATAAATTTACTACATGTTATGCTATCAATATGACTTTGATAAAACAGTGAGAAGGGTTAATTAACAAATTTTGGGTAATCTTTAGAGATGCATGAAGCAAAAGTTAATTATTATTTCTCTTACCTTAAAAAGCAATAAAGGAAATCAGAACTTGCTAAATTCAAAACCAAGACATCTTTCATTCGTAATCGCCTTGAACCTTTCTTTGCAATATGTATAAAAATTAATGCATTCCCTGGAATGCCAACGCTGGAAAGAATAGCTTGCATAATTATAGATATCATAGCGAATGTCGGAGTAAAACCGGTGCGATATGTGATATTCATTGCAAAATTATATCGTCTCCACGATTAATTAATTGTTCGGCGAAATTTAAGTTGTTAATAATGTTACCTCTTGAAGATAAAATGTGTGATAATGATTGTATGCCCTTAATGTGTATAATATTTATTGTATTCGTTAGTTTAAAGAGCAACTCTTAAACAATCACAGGAAAAAGTGACACTGGTAGTCTATCAACAATAGCATTACGCATTTAGCAACATTTTCATTTTATCATAGAAGTTTCATTATGACCAATGGGAGGAACTATAATTAGTGAATCATATGCCTACAATCACCAATAACTATTATGCAGAACGTATTCATGAGGGCTATTAACATAAAGATTGAAATTACTTTTACACTTGTATTGCATCTTTTATATTTGTTGTTAGTATATTAATATTAGTTTACTCTTTTAACTCAAGTAACTATTATTGACGTCTATATTTTCTTCGGAATCGGTAATTTTTAGATTTTCTATATAGGTATTTTGAAGAAATTTTAGTTATCTGCATTGACATACTGAATTCTAGCCACCTTTCAATCGGTAATCCATTAAATTTTTTAATTTGCATTATTTACAACCCTTTCTGAAATTTCAATATCATGATGTCATTATTATCAGCGTAACAATTGTTTTCAGAATTTATGGATCAAGTAAAAATTTAATATTGATCTATTGACTTTTAGTTTTAGGAAATTAAGGTATAATCAAAACAGTGATTCAAATACTCTCAGCTATTAAGTTGCAATTCATGTAAATTACATTCGATTTCATGGATATTATCGCTAAATCCAATCCGAAAACATAGTTTCTAATCGTTACAATATGAATTGTAAAATAATTGATAATATACTATCGGATGTTTGCATACCTAAGATAAATTAAAGTAATTGACTGTATTGGAATAACTTAGCATAATGCTACACTGTAAGCCGATACTTGGAGAGTATTATTGTATAATTATTTCCACTACCTTAGGATAAATGCTAAACTTAATGTATTGATCATGTGTCAGTAATTCATCAGTTGACAATTTACGTAAGACATCCGCAACGAGAAAAATGGAAATTAGGATATTATCCCTATACATTGTTAAATATCCAAGGAAAGGAAATTATGTTAAAGCTGGAATTGTGTAATCTGTCTTAATCAGTTACAGTTGCCCTCTTTTAAGAACAATATAGTGTATGTTTAAAGATGATATTTAAATAACCATATTTTCTTCAATTTCTTTAACAAATTTCATATGCTAGACACAATAGATGGATAAAGATGATTTTATTAACCTTATTTGTAGTAACTGATAAATACTTGACAGATAATGTTGTCTGGTTATCATCGTAGCTTATTATTTGAAGCTATACAATTATTTTGTTATCTATTATTGTTATGTTGGAAAAGTAGATGAAAAAATTTAATTTGATAGATATACTGATTCTATTGATATGCCAAGATAGTAAAATAAAAGTTTTGAGCAAGACAATATAATTGTTACCATCTGGTTTCTTATTCTATTTATCTATATACCATAATTAAATTGAACTGACTGCAACTAATAATAAACTGTATGCTTATTCTTTATAGTATAATGGTCAATACTCTAGGATACTAGTACCATCGCGAGATGTTGATGTTTTGATACTTTGCAATTTTTCGTACTAGTATTACTGAGCTAATAGAACCTATAATCTATAAGATCTAATCTATAGTATAATGCGTGTATAATATAATATAATATAATATAATAAGGTCTATAAGTAACGAAATCTTTAATATTTTGAATACCTTTTAATTGTAAAGCTACGAATCTGATTTGCGAAATATATAACCAGAAATCGCGGTAAATTTATCAACACTGCAAGAATTAAATTTATTGCACTTCAAACTTAAAGTCTAAAGTTAATAATAAAGGTTAGTCTCATAATCAATTTCTAATACGAATACGATGATAATTGTCGTTAACGTGAAATTTATCAAATGATACGGTCTCATTTTATTCTTATCTAGCTTCGCTCTAAATGTCTTACCATAATAATAATATTTATGAATATTTCAATTAATTTTATTTGTTATTTACACCTACGCATGAAATTCAATTTCATCAAGAATGCCTTCGAAAGCAAAATAGAACTTATTACTTATTTAGACCTTATGTTAAATTTATTCTATGCATGGATAAATTGATTCGATTTTTAGCGCTTATTCCAAGAAATATGTTGCATTTTCTTTACAAATTACTGTTACATTTATTCTTTAACAATATTATTGGATAAGGATGGTATTATAAATTGTTACTGATTATAAATACTTTACGCCAGGAATTTACAATATGATTTTACTCCAGATTGGGAAATAAAAAGATAAACAAACATCTTCATCATTTGGTTATCAACATTCAATTGGAGATGCTAGCTTTTTATCAGGAACTTTTGAGCTTTTTGAAGCTGTGTAGCTTACTGCTATAGAATCAGGATTTTTGATTAATTCTCTGGCCAGCTTAAACTTGGCAAACATCAATTTTAATGCTTGAAATAACGTTTTTGGTTTCTAGATTGAAATTTAGCAGTGTAAAATGAAAAAATGTCTAATTTTAGTATTAGTACGGCAATTTAAATATATTAGTGTTAATATATATTTAAGTCAGGATTGCAAGGCCTAAAAATTTTATAAATATCAAATTGNAGGTTCCAGATACCATACTTCAGTACAGCTAAAAAGCAGTTGATATTATATATGCATACTAGAGAAAGCAATGTATACCTAGTTTGCCTATTATAATTGAACTTTGCGTTATACAGTTACGGATAAATAGACTTTGATGGTAATATAAAGTTCTTTTAAGGAGCTAACTTTAAGAATTATATCAAAGACATTGTATCATATCAATTAATACTTACGTCGGGATCCATAGGATCAATACTTTGCCATAAAGCTATTATCCACTCGATCAAAAGAATCAAAAAGCTAGTTCCTGTTGCAAATAAAAGTAGCACAAAGACTCCATAGATGTGGCTGATATCAATCTCTTGATATTCTGCAAGGTTTTCGTTATTCTGACCGTTACCAATGCAAGTAACCTTAGTTTTATCGTACCTGATTGAAAATATATGGAATTTGCATGTGTTAATATAACTTTATAAAATTAAATCATATAAAATCGCTGCCTAACTTATGTGATATATTCTATTATGACCTTAGTACTCAGTAGTATTTACGAATATTTATAACTCGCGTAACTAATAAATAGATAGAAATAAATGATATCCAGTTATTTTTGAACTGATCCGGAAAATCTTTTTGCTTGAAACTTGTGGACAACAGATTATACGTGTATAAGAGTGTGGCTATTTGGCGATATTGCTGTATCTCTTACATATAATAATCAGGAGCGTTCCTTCTACGGGTATGTGTATTAGCAGTGATGTACCGTACTCGTGTTACTTCATAGCATAATACTACATATTAAATCCAATTTTTTTCCGACAACTTGGTTATCTGTGGCATCTATTCATTAAGATTTTCAGATCTCTTCATGATTTTATTTATTAATTAAATCAATCAATAGCGTGAATACGGTGCATTATAAGTTTTAAAAAAATGATAATAATGGATTTGAAGAATTTTTAAGACCGTCATACAGTATATGTCTAAGGATCTTACAATGAATGAATTACAATAGCTGATAAAATGACTTACCATTTTTTTATTCTATTTTCAATGAAACCATTTTGCCTTAATTTTAAAATAGCTACGCTAAACTCTTGCGTATAGGGTGATCCTTTTCTCAGCCCTAGTCCGTAGCCATCTTTATGGAATTCACCACCAACGGTCATAACATCGCAATGTATATTCTTATAATAGTTTAACAAAGCTGCGTCCCATAGAAAAGCGTAATTGCCTTCTTTAGCCTTTTGGACGCCTTGTTGAGTAGTGGGAACATTGGCCATATACGGAGCCATTTCATAATAAGGACTAAGACCAGTTTTGTGAAAGAAATTGTCAACGCTGCTTCCTTGAACAGTTCCATACTTTATTTTATTTTGAGTTGCAAGTTTTTGAATAGAATCGACGGCTGTCAAGAAAGTAAATAACGACTGCAATATTAGTATTTATCTCATCAATTTAGAAAATTTCTATCATTGACCGTAATAATCATTAGTGTCTATTGTAATAATATCTTCTTTAAGTAGCGTAAAGTATTTTAAGGTAGACGATGATAGAAGGTATAAAGGATTTTATTGAGATACAAGTTACAGGCTAACAATGATATGGTTGTTATAGACAAGGTATTTGAGATAGCAGGAATGTAGGAACTGACTAACGAGTTAGCGTACAAGGGTATTTATAGGTTTTAGATGGGATTGAGATAATGTCTTTATATGTATAGCATGTCGTCTATATGTAGTCATGATATCGTACATTATGAATGTAATACAATACAGTACTTAAGCGGTATATGATAAGTATTCGTATATTAGGATATTACTATACTAGGCATCTTCTATATAAGATCATAATGTTACATCTATATTTGGTTAGTAATTGTTTCAAATCTTTTCGGATCGCAAAGCTGGGGTATTGTATAGTTATATAAGCTGAAATACGATAATAGCATATTACTAGTTGCATAAAATAGTAATTTTAGGACAGAATCAATAAACAATTACGCTTTGCTGCTAAGTTAGAATTAATCTAGTAAATAAATTGATTTAAAACTACTTGGATTTCATCAATTAGTTTAATTTAATTAAAGCATCAAATAGTACTGTAACATAAAGTCTTTGTTATACTTATGCCTCTGAAATGAATCGGTTTTTCATCTCTAAAGTGTAAAATATTAACGTATCGGCCACCACCCACATTTTACATTTTATGCACGAACGGCTATTCTACGCTACATAATGTTTTACTGCATATTTGTCACAAACCAACTTCGTGACAAAGATAACGTAAAACAAATCTCTAAAATACTATAGTCTCCGGGATTCAGTATCCCTTAACTATCTCATAAGAATTTAGACGCCTTTGATTCTACGTTAAACTCAACTAGACAATTGAGAACTACTTTATTCAACTATCTGACGGGCTTATATACCCTTCTACAGCAGCTAACATTCACGCGTCATCTTGGTGAGAACATCTACTAACTAATTTTTCACATTCGGACTACAACATGTCCATTCACCGAATCATTTCAGTGCACATTACCGCACAGCATTAAATTTACTGTAACACATTTATAATTAGAGAGTAATTCCTATTGTAAGTAATCAGTTGTAATATATTATCACTTGTTACAGTGTTAAATACTGTATTACAGTAGAAATAACTATGTTAGGATAATTCTGTTAGACTATCCTTATTTAGTTAACTTCTAATTTGGATATACTGTGTTTTAATATAGCACTGACTTTTTATGACAGTGACACTTATACACATACTGAAATTAATAGTTATAATAGGGAATGCAAATCATCTACTTACAATTCGAATCATTGTGATTGTAATTTACTTATGGTAGACTGTAAATTATCATGGAAATGTTCCGTGATAGGACATATCGTAATCTGACTATTCTGTATTAGTCATTACATGTCTATATTCGTAAATACTGTTGTCTGCATTAAGGGAGCAGTAGCTAAAATTAATATCTAATTCAGCAAATGATTCCAATGTTAATTGTATTAACTATGACTCATGAACTATTGAGGAGTAGTATATAAATGCAGTATATCGTGAAATAAAGGGAATTCTCCAACTTAGTGTTTAACGTAAAATACGAGGCGTTTAAGTCTTTGTGTAGTCTGCTAGTACAGCAAAAGTGCTTGTGATAGTGCAGATATCGTTCCTTGATACGTGGTTCAAGGAATTGACTTATTGATCGTAGATTACGTTATCTTGTTGCAAAGCTGTTTTGTGACATCACTATATTATATTAACCAAATTTAGATAACTATTTCTTCACGGTAGTTCGTACCGTGACAATATTGTTTTTTACAATTTTAAACAGATTATTACTACTATAATTAGCTGAAATTACTACCGTATTAGGGCGTTATATATTATGGATGGAATACTAACAGCTGTATCTTAATTTTGTTGATTCTACGCTTCTGTTGGATTCGAATAAGCCTTATTTAATACTAAGATGTTAACTCATTTATCATAAATACTAGTACAAACTCCCGTCGCTTTGCTGACGGTTTACGATAACGTGCTCATTTAACAGATAGTATTGCCATTTGTCGTAGACCTGTCAGAGGTTCAGTAACTTTATACCGTGTACTAATTCATCTCTAAATATTTATAGAATCATTAGCTAGTACTAGTAATATAATTTAGAGAACTGCACTACCTTGCAATATTTATTAGTAGTTGTGGTGATGTATTTGAAATTGATTATATCGATTTTTGTAAAGTATCGCAGTTCTATTTGTATCAAAGGCATTTTGCGTAAAATAATTAACACCAAATTATCAGTTTTTCTATTTTATATACATTTAATGTTCAAGTCTAACTGGCACGGACAAAGACACTTAACCAAGTATATAGGTTAAGCCTGTATGCTATTTATTTATACTAATATAGGCGAACTGCCTTTGCTGTGAGCGTAGTAGTCGATAATTGTAATATAGTTAATGATTATTATCCCATAAAAACGTTATACTTGTAATAATAAGTTTAATAAATTACAATTAGCTACACCGCGCATCCTACGAACCAATCATCCATCCCCTTAAATTGTGTAGCCTAATTCCATATTGGCCAATGCTTAAATTAGTATTATTGCCAGTTATGTTTTATTTAATAAAGTTTGGCAAAGTGAAATAGATTATTTTAAAGAAAGATAAGAAATTGTTTATGGCTTTTATAAATATAAACAAAAGTACTCAAAAATATTTTTAGAAGATAGACCGCCTGAGCGTGTTAATGTTTCTGTGATTACAAAAAATCGAAAACTTTCGCTACTAATACATTTATGCTATAATTACTAGAGGTTTTCAGTATGATCTATTATTAAGTCAGATATGACTCGTAAATTTATCATCAAACATAAATTTTACCTGAATTTAGGCGATCAATAGTCAAAAAAGCAGCCAAGTTGGCAGTGTAAGTAGCAATAATAATACATGATGCTAACCACCAAAATCCGGTTATGATACGACCAGACAGAGCGTTTGGTGATTTGTTATGTCCTTGTTGAAGAAATGAAGATATAATATTCCACACTGAATTGCCCAAATTAGTTGAGTAAATGGTATCTCTGTAATAATTTTTCCATCTTAATTTATCAACTCTAGGTATGCTATTTCCACTATAGTCAGAATCATTTGCATGAAGAGGTAGGTGACGAACTGCTGATCCATATAAATCGAATGGGCTCAGATAACCCGTAGCATAGAAGATAACTCCAGTAAATATAAACGAACCAGCAATAAGCAGCCATACATTAAGTGTAAATGGAGCAAAGCATTGAAATATTGACGGTGGAAGTGACTTAGGCTTGGCGACTAGCATAGTTACACCCTGATCTAGAAATGGTTTAGTAAAATCAATGACATGAGAGCGACTAGCGGTAATAGAGAATGCGCCAGCAGCAATATCAGCTTTCTATAATGAAACGAATACAGATTGAATTAAGAGAACGATTTTGTAGAGTTAATACATGTGAATTTAAGTGAGATTCATATAACCTAGGCTTGTAATCATCTTTAAGCTACTTCAATATCTTAATATTAGATTATCTGAAATACAGACCTGGTCAATTATCTTTTTAACCATTCCAGTCCATTGATTTGTAGTTTCATTGACACTACCATAATTTCTGTCTTCAGTAAGAGACAATTTATATGTAAACTGCAGCATTTTACTTAATTCTACCAATAAATCTTTTACTATTCCTTCAAATCTATTGTTTCCATATAACTCGGACGAATTTATCAAGTTCATAAAAGGAGGATCCTGTTTAAGTATTTTAATGACGCGAAAAGAAGTGTAAGTTAAGGTTTATACCATTGGATTGATGACAACTTAAATGATTTTTTTGAAATTATGATATAGATCAAAGCAAAAATCAGTTGGCTCTGCCCGTATCGTTCTACCATGGACTACTAAAAAATTTTTTTCTAGTAGTCTATGGCTATGCCTATAAAGTAGCATTAACTTCTGAATATGCTAGTAAAAGGTGCTATAGAGATATTGTGGAGATTCTATATTTTCATTATATCGCATCATTTCCATTGATATTGAAAAGTTATTACTTACAATAGTAGTAACTATGGATAAATTGACTCCTTTTAACCCTGTACTGAGAATCGTCGGATCTAAATTGTGACCCATATACACAATTTTATTGATATCGATACTTGCACCAGAATCTTTTGACCATTTACCAATCTGCAATTGATCGCTAAATTAGTAAATCGCGGTGTTCATGTTTAAATATTATTCATATAATAAATTAATCATTCATTCTCATATACAGTTTTCCAGGTTTGATTGATTAAATTGACAATTTGAAATGATGGATTGATTGGAGAACCATTTATACCAAATTGTATCGGACCCGTTACTCCCGCTCCTACAGACTGTGTAACAAGATATTTGCGTATATATGCAAGAAAGTTACCACCTATAAGTTTTCATTAAAAATTTATCATATCGTATATATCTATATCAACGGTTAAGTCACTGTAATAGAATACTTTTATAAATTGCAATATTTTTTATTGGTTAATAATTCACATTCTAATTCTTTGTATGTACAGAACTGTATCTTGTAATATTTACGATTTATATCACAACCATTTGTGTCAAAACTATTAGCCTGTGATATCACTGTTGAACTTAATACTACATCATCGATCAATGATGAACATTTGCTTCAATACCGTTTTGATACTATGCATTAATAGATTTCCATTTGCCCAAGGAATTATTTTGTCGCATGACATCATTGTTGGCGCTATACTGCTTATGTTAGGTAGTAGCTTTTGTAGTCCGTAGGCAAAGGCTAGGACGGCATCATAGTATCTTAATGAAAATGGCTGATTATAGAAAAGGAGGAGTAATCAATAATACATTCAGTTATGATCAAGAGATAGGAAAATGTTAACAGTAAAGAATGAAAATTGCCAGGCAATGATCTTAGGTGAAACTAACATCTAAGTCACTAGTATGGTCCTTCTTCCAAATAGATTCAATTTTTCGATATACCGGATTATCGCGGTTTGGATTACTTATCATGCCAATGGCTCCTTCCAAATAACGAGGCGGATTACTATGCAATCGTCCCTAGCAATCGATTTTATATTTAGTTTAATTAGAAAATATTACTCCACTTGTGATGGTAAATTATAATTTTTGATCTGTACCTCCGTAATAGTATTATCGTAGAATAGCCACTGATATCCTTTAGATGTTAGACCCATTCTATGAGCTTGAGATACTATAATATCAGCTTGAGATGATAAGCATATCAAGATGATAATATGCACTCCTATGCCAAGTCGACAGAAGTTAGATATGAACCGTGATTAAGATTAGCGACAGGCACATCTATTAAAGTTGTGATCGAAATCATGTCCAATGCAATCTGTATTATACAATACAGCTTGCAGTCAACAAAATTTCCTACTGCCATCCTATTTGTTCATTCAAATATTATTTGTGCGATTCTATCTTTAAATTGAGGATAGTAAAATTTAAAACTGGAAATAATTCCCCGTTCTATATGTATTCTCGGCGTAAAGAGTTAATCTTTGTAAATAAATTCATTTGTCTCACCTGAGTCTTGAATCTTTTTTAAGCGCTTTCGAATCAAGTTTACATCGTTGGTTTCCTGTACATTGAAAATTTCATATGCTAAAATTTTCCACCCGCGCTGAGCAGCAATAACTTGAAATTCGGCTACAGAATTAATTCCTAAAAGTAATGATAGATGCTATGTTAGATAAGATAATTTTCTTATGTGCATGTGATATATGTGTCGGTTATCGCTGATGACATTACGGTAGTTTACTCAACAAAGCGTGGGATGATCTGCTAGTATTTAAGATTTTTTATTGGTTGTTTTAGATATCTGTTCCCCTCTCTCTAATCATAATTGTAACTATTTTGTAAATTATAAAGCCAGGAATTTTTTTATCTATTTTTTTAAATCTATTTGAAATGCTATAGAGCCGGATTGACGAAAGAAAGAATATTTCTATAATGAAATCCTGCATTACTAATTATATAATTTCCATAGCTGATATAGCAATCTAGCCACAAGCAAATATATTGCAAAACGCAATTACGATATTTCAAGTAGCTGTTGCTTACCATAATCCGTATTTGATGCTAGTAGTGCCGCATATGGCCAATTAAGACTTTGAAAGATAGATGCCAGCACTTTGCTTTGCCAATAATCACTTGGTGACATACGCAGTAAATATTTCAGGCTAGGTCGATTATCGAAACCAGGGTAAGAAGCAACCGGCGCAATTTGAGGTAAGGATACCGATGTGGCCATATATTGCACGCATTCGACATCGCTCGATGTTGTCGGTCCAATTATTGTCCAAACTTGATCGTTAGCTGCTAGACAACCTGAACATTATTATATGTAAAATTTTAGTAATTGTATCTCGTGAATAAATATAAAATATATTTCTTTCATAATAAGAAATAGCGCAAAGCTTGCGTAATTTTGCGCCGCTTCGATTAATTGAGCTCTCTTTCTAATGCACAGTATATCATCTAAAGTTATTCTACTGGCTAGATGTCTCTCTATATACGACCTCTTAGTGATACTCTTTTGAATATTACCTTTTTTCAAATTTCGGTACTGTTGATAAATATTTGCGTGATAAAATTGCATAGTTAAGTTAACATTAGGTAAAAGAGTTTGATTTCGATTGATCTGATCAACAGCCAATTCGAGTATTTGACGAACTTTTGTATTTCCTTCTTCGATAATAGCGCCTTAAACAAAACAAACACGAACATGTAAGCATTAATTATTATTAATATTAGATATTGTCACGGTACGAAGTATCGTGTAGAATTAAATGACTAAATGTAGTGAATTAGCATTTATGTATGGTGATAACAATTAATGGCTTACAGTTAGAACCACGATATTATTTGTTACAGTAAATTATGTCGCACTGTAGTAAGAGTTCTTATATGGCAATTGATATTAATTGATTATATTGTTATGTCTTTTGACGCTTATGATTAATACCCTGAAGATACTCAATTTTAGGCCATACCATAAATAATTCTGTAAATAGACATACCATAGTCTAGTTATCTAGAATCATTCGATGGACATCTACGATTATAAATATCTCTGTATTAATTTATTTATCCAATATAAATTAACTTTCATAATCTTATGGTGACTCATTCATGCTAGCTACTAAAGAGTGTTTAAGCTCGGCAGATAGCAGAATAAAATTGGATTTCTCTAGTTGTTTAACGTAGAAGCAAAGGCGTCTAAATTATTGTGAGATAGTATATAGGCGTATAATTGTAATAACCTCACTACTATTACGTTAGGTTCGTAGTTTAATGATCTTAGGCACATTTGGGCATAGTCTATATTATATAAGCTGTCCGCTCTGGTTCTAGTACTTGGTGAAAGAGCGAATACCGTACTTCACTGTTTCATCATCAGCCACTGCCCACTAACTTACTTTAATCTATGCAAACGATTAAAATAGTATTAATAAATTGATATATGTTATGATATGATATTTAAATATAGTAAAACAATATAATGTCTTTAGAGACATGCTGCGTTAATATGGTAATACATATTATTTACACATTCTAACACGGAATTTTTGCAGAGATTAAATTACCAAATGGTCACTAAAAATAAGCTCTAGAAAAATGAAGCTAAGCATATAATAATGCTGGAAAATCATCATTTTTATGTGTAAACGAATCTGAATTTGAACAGCAATAATTTACAAGAATTTGTTATTGAAAGTGCAACCAAACGGTGAGCAAGATTGAGAAATAGGTGATAAAATAAATATAGAATTAAATTAGAAGCTATTACTTCTGTCAGTCGGAGCTACTCTAATTTATGTTAAAGTAGCGTAACTATATTAAAAATAGCGGAAAACTTAAGATATCATCTAATGTCAATATTAGACCGGGGAAAGTAAAATTTTACCGTTAGTAGAACTTAAAAAATCAAGGTAATTAATCAGAAGATATAAAACTTATCTATTCGTAAAATTTAACGCATTATGTGCAAACAGGTAATGGGAAGTAGTAGATGATGTAGATTAGGTGAATGATAACTTTATCTATGAAATAAAAGATCGAGATACACCGCTCCAGCGGACGGAATTATCAACAAGCTGAGAGTCAGAGATCAGAATGAATAGGAAATAAAGTTAAAACTTGTATAATTGTCGATCAGCCATTGCTATTTAAAGTTTAGATAATTTACTCGATCAAGACCGATAAAATGAAAAGTCTACCAAAAAAATGAAATGACTGAAGAGCTACCCTAATTTATACAGGTTTTAAAGAATAGTTACTACAACCAAATTGAAACATTTAATACAGAAGAATTACTGAAATCAGCAACTCAATAAATAAAATTATCTTAAAATTTAAGTCTATACTTTATAATTTTAATCGAGAAAAAACGGATAAAATCAGTTTTTAATGAGTATCATAATCCAAATGTTCATATTAAGTTTCTACAATTTTCTGTTTAAATACGACTGCTAGAATGTTGGAGAAATATATCGATAGAATGATTGACAAATTAACTAGATCACTGATTAAATGATTGTAATAAGCAGCATTAATATTTCCATAGTATATGTGATAAAGCTGCTCTGAGAAAGTGGAAGAAATAAAAATCTAGTTTGCAGTATACTGCTATACAATAAATGGAAAGGAAAAACTACGTATGAGGAACTGGTGATAAATATATGCAGATGGTAGGTGGTACGATTGAACAGCTAAACTTCAAGAGTTCCTTCCCTCGATAGTAA